CACACGAGAATGAAACATAGGCTTGATTTATTGGAGCAAAGAGTCTGTTCATTTCATTGGCCTTATTTGAAAACCTGCATTTAATTCTGTCATAACTATCATTTGTTTGGCAGGAAGATATATAATCTTGCATCTTTAGGTTTTTTTTTTTTACCTTTATTTATATAGTGCATACAGATTGTGTCAAAGCAGCTTTACAGTGCTAAAGAGGAAAAACGTGTGCTGATAATGCAAGTGGACAATAGAAAACAGCGACAGTCAGTTTGTCAGTTTAAGTCAGTTCATTATTGATTCTGTGATGTCATCGTCCAGCTCAGTTAAATTCTCTTCCAATAGTGTTTGTGCAGTCAAGTCAACAATGTTGCCAGAAATTAAGCGTCCCCAACTAAGCAAGGAACCAAAACTCCACCGGTGACAGAAATGGAGAAAAAACGTTGGGAGAAACCAGGCTCAGTCGGGGGGCCAGTTATCCTCTGGCCAGACGAAACCAGCATGGTGTGGTTTAATTCCAGGCTGCAACACAGGTCAGATTGTGCACAGGACTTGTCTGGTTCGTGGTCTTGTCCCGATGGCCGTCTAGTTGACGAGGTCTTCACAGGGGATCTGTCTCTGGGACGCATCTAGTTGTCCTGGTCTCCGCTGACATTCAGGGCTGTAGAGGTCGTCTCTAGGTGCTGATCCACCATCTGGTCTGGATACGGACTGGATCTGGGTGGCTACAGTGACCATCTGATCTGGATACGTACTGGATCCGTATGGCTACGGTGACCTCGGAATAAGAATGAGAGAGACTAATATTAGCATAGATGCCATTCTTCTTACGATGCAACGAGTAGGTCGGGTGTTATGGGAAGTGTTCCAGGGTCTGGTTGACCTAATTAATGCTGCCTAACAATCCTTTAACGGATTTGAATTATAGAGATGTGATCATGTTTTATGTGTATGCCTGGATAAAGAGATGGGTCTTTAATCTAGATTTAAACTGACAGAGTGTGTCTGCCTAATGAACAACGCTAGGTAGATGGTTCCAGAGTTTGGGCGCTATATAGGAAAAGGATCTGCTGCCCACAGTTGATTTTCATATTCTAGGTTTGATCAAATGGCCAGAGTTTTGAGATCACAGTGGACGTGAAGGACAATAATGCGATATGAGCTCAGTCAAGTATTGAGGAGCTAAACCATTCAGGGCTTTATAATTAATTGGTAAGATTTAAAAATGTATACAGTCTTCAATAGGGAGCCAATGCAGAGTTGACAGAACCGGGATAATATGGTCATAATTCCTAGTTCTAGTAAGAACTCTAGCTGCTGAATTTTGGACCAGCTGGAGTTTGTTTATTAAGCGCGCAGAGCAACCACCCAATAAATCTAACCTTGAGGTCATGAACGCATGAATTAACGTTTCTGCATTTGACATTGAGAGCATAGGTCTTTATTTATTTAGACATATTTTTAAGATGGAAAAATGTGGCTTTACAAATGCTAGAAACATGGTTTTCAACGTTAAGATTACTATCAAATAGCACACCTAGGTTCCTAACTGATGACGAAGAATTGACAGAGCAGCCATCAAGTGTTAGATAGTGATCTAGGTTATTACATGTGGAGGTTTTTGTTCCAATAATTAACACCTCTGTTTGTTTTTTTTTGTTTTTTTTCAGAATTTAGCAGTAGGAAATTACTAGTCATCCATGTATTTTTATATCAACTATGCATTCCATTAGTTTTGTGAATTGTATCATCGGGCCATGAAGAAACATGGAGCTGAGTGTCATCAGAATAACAATGAAAGCTAACACCACGTTTCCTGATGATATCTCCCAAGGATAACATGTAATGCATGAAAAGCAGTGGTCCTAGTACTGAGCCTTGTGGTACTCCATACTGTATTGTGATCGATATGATACCTCTTCATTCACTTCTATGAACTGATGATGGTCTGATAACTAAGATTTGAACCATGCCAATGCAATTCCACTAATGCCATCTTCATTCTGTAGTCTACTCAAAAGAATGTTGGGGTCAATAGTGGATAGATCCAGTAGCAATAATAGAGAAATACAACCACGATAGGGATAATAAGAGCAGGTAATTTGTAACTCTGATGAAAACATCTGACTGTGGAAAACAGATCTGTTTCAAACCCTAGTGAAGGTCCTACATAGTATTTTTAGGCATCATAGGCATACTTCTGACATGAACATTGGTTCAGAAGGTAGAAAGCAACATTATCCAGTCTTCTAGGATTCTTTCTTTTCACCTAAATTGAACACAGAACTTGAAGATGGCTGCATTGCTACAGTCTAAGTCAGGGGTTCTCAACTCTGGCTCTCAAGATCCGCTTTCCTGCAGAGTTTAGCTCCAACCTTGATCAAACTCACCTGCCTGTAACTTTCTAGTGATCCTGAAGACCTTGATTAGCTATCTTGATTACCTTCCAAGATGGCAATTTGAGAATACAACTTATATGTGTATTCAATGCTGAAAGTAACAAATAGTTTAATCCAATTAAAACTGACTAGCTATTTGTGTAAATTGTGTGTTCTGTTTATTTTTTTTCATCAGCCTATTTTCTCATCAGCTTAGCAACATGCTAATGTCATACTCTATTGAAATTAACGATGGGAAGATTGGATCATTTTACTGACACCCTCGTTCGATCTTGTTCATCAAAATATGCTAATCTTTTTCAAGTAATTTTAAATGAAACATTTTCAACAGCCGAATTCCCTGAACACATTCACCTACATAATCTTGATAATATTACAAATTAGAAATGCAGCCAAAGATAATTTGAGGAACATAAATGATTACTTTATCTCCCGAGTCTTTTGTTTATTTGTCATGTGACAGATGAATGAATCGTTCATGAATGACTCATCACTAATTGATCAATAAATGACCCATCACTAATGAAATCTGTTGTGAGTCTCTTTTAAACTTCATGTATGTTGCTGCTTCTGTAGAGTGTTCCAAATCAGTCACTTATGAGGTTCCACTTTTGTTATGATGTTGCCAAAAGCTAACTGTTATCTGACAGCAGATAGCGAAATAGCTCACTAAAGTTTGAAACAAGGATTATTTTGCCAGCTAAAACAGTGCTATCCCATTGCTTCTCAAATGGAAGTGATCTTTGCATGTACTGTATGTGTGTGTGTGTGTGTGTGTTCCATGTTTTCCTGTGCAAAATCTGACTGTCATTCACAATGCATTCATGCATTTGTCTCATCATTGTCTCATAATCATAGTTAGTATGTGGCATGTTTTCATATTGTCCGATCACTTTATTCATTAATATGTGTCTCATCATTATTTAGTCTGTCATGTCAGGATGATGAAACTAGATGAGACGCCACACTCGACACCATAAATCTAAATGACTGTATCCCAATATAAATTGAAGGGTGGTGTTTGTATGCAGCTGTTGACGGGGGCTGGATGAAATGGAAACATTCCTAGCTCTATGCTGTTTATGGGAGACATTTGTGCCGATAATGTAGCTGATGCTGGTGACATTTAAACAGATCTCCACTCTCAGCCGTGTGTAATACAACAGATCAGCACAACAGAACCTTCCAGCAACCTGTGAGGCCTTTTACTCTTGCAATATTTATATTTCCACTTTGCTGTTTATTTCATGAGATAAATCATTCAACAAGTTTTAATCAGGGCAGGCACTAACATTCATTTTGTTTCTTACAATATTGCATTGATATTTAAGATCTTGATATTTAAGATATGAATGCATGCATATACTTTTCTACCTTTCAATTACTGAAAAACAAAATTGACAATCATAAGGAATTAAAATGTAATTTTGAGCTGTAATAATTGTGAGCTATTTATGATAATGTGATGCATCACAGTGTATTGAATTCAATTGTGCCATATGATTCATTTTCTTTGATGCACAGCATTGTAAGTTAGTGCTGAAACAAAACCACTATTGATAAAAAAATGGCTCAGGTACAGAAACCTTGTAATTGATTTTCCCAAAGCAGCAGAATTGATTTTCCCAAAGCAGCGGTAGGCTACATCATACAGATTGATGTGGAAATTGTTTGATTTTGGAAAGCGTTTGCTCAATGGAGCACTTCTACAAATACGATGCAGCATTTGTGTCTCCTTCAGGACTCTCAGAGCAATGTTTCATCTGAAAGAGAGTCAGAATGAATATGGCTGTAAATCCATTATTAAACTGTAAAGGATGCTTTTAGAATCAGAATCAGAATCAGAAAGAGCTTTATTGCCAAGTATGTTTGCACATACAAGGAATTTGTTATACTGTCACAAGCTTCCAGTACACGGAGACAACAACAACACACAGGTAATAAAAATGAGATCTGAATAAAATACACATGCATAAATATAAACCACAAAAAAAGCCACAGGTCTGTAGTCATTAAGTCCTGTTATCTTGGGTTTCTTTGGGACGGGGATGATGGTGGAGCGTTTGAAGCAGGCAGGGACTTTGCACAGCTCCAGTGATCTGTTGAAGATCTGTGAGAAGATGGGGGCCAGCTGGTCAGCGCAGGTTTTCAGACAGGCTGGTGTCACACCGTCTGGGCCTGGTGCTTTTCTTCTCTTGTTCTTTCTGAAGACCTGGCGCACATCATCCTCACTGATCTAAACGGTAGGAGTGGGGGAGAGGGGGGGATTACATTTTAAGATGTGTTTATGAATTGCTGATAAGGAGAGTGAGCCGCTGACTGCCGTAGCAATTTACAGATCTATCAGAATAGATATTACATATAACCATCCATTCTCCAAACCGCTTGTCCTATAGGGTTGAGTGTGTTAATTAATGAATAATGCAACTGGTATCTAGAATCACAGAATTTGCAATGGTAATATTTTTGATCAATATAAATTTGATGTCATGCCAATAGCACATCACAAATTACATTTTTGCTGTATATATTGGTTTGATATTTGATTTGAATATGAAACAAATGTGTTTATGTTTTTTTGTCTAATTTCCCCTTTCTTCCTATCCACAGTGTGCTGTTTTGTGGTCCACAAAAGGTGCCATGAGTTTGTTTCGTTCTCCTGTCCAGGAGCCGACAAGGGCCCTGACACTGATGTGAGTAAATGCTTGTACTTCTCTCTCTCTCACACACACACACACTTGCTCATACTGCAGTCAGCATGTTCTGTGTTCTGTTTGTTAAGATCCATATCCATTCAAGTTGTTTTGTGAAGGTGTGCTTGCTTTAAAACGGATGTGTTTACTAAGACTTCAGTGTAATGCCAAGCAAAAACAGTCTTCTCTTTTTTTCTCTCTCCTCCTCCTGCTCTGTGGGGATGTGTGTGTGTGTGTGTGTGTATGTGCTTCTCATCTCTGCTGTGAGGACAGCTGCTTGTGGTTTACTGTAGATGAGCACCGTGGGCCAATAGTGGTCAAATATGACCTGTTAGCCCCTGCATGTCCCCTGAGTGCTGCTTACTCAGACATCCAGAAAAAAGCCCACACAAAGCCAGTTATGTGTTTTCTTTTAACCCTTCTCTAGATTTGTAGGGTGCCACAAGTTTGTTAAAATTTCCAAAGGGTGCCGCGACTGAAAAAAAGGTTTGGAAACACTGCTCTAGATTAGCCTCACATTAGCCTCTAAACCACATTAGGAAGGAGCTTCTGAGAGGTTTACATGCATGTTGTGGTTGTTTTAATGGGTCTAAATTGCTATCAAGATTTAAATTACAGACATGAATGAGTTCAGGCAGTATGTTCAGACTAACAACACAATCCTTTTTGTTTGGACTTTTGCCATTTAAGCAAGAAGTACCTTTGCTTACATCAATAGTAAATTGTATTTTTATTTAAAAAAAAATATATTTTTTAACTTTCTTCTTTTCCTTGGATTGTTTTTTTTTAAAATTGATAATTCACTATTTTTATTTAAAAAAAAATATATTTTTTAACTTCCTTCTTTTCCTTGGATTGTTTTTTTTTTTTAATTGATAATTCACTGAATACAATTTTTAATTCACCCGTATGTCAAAATAACTTTCTTTTCCTGCGGAACACAAAAGGAGATATTTTGCTGTACAGGTTTCTCTTTAGAACCAGGCTTCTCCGATAGAAATAAAAAAATAAATAAATAAGCCAGTGTAAAAAAAAAATGGTTACAGCCAAATTAAGTTGTTTTTCTCAAATTATAGTTATGGTTTGGTTCAAACCTTATATTTTAATTTAATAGAAATCAAAAATATTTATTCTGACAAGGGAAAAACATTCATAAAGAAAGTAAAAATATCATTTATTATGAAGACGTTACAATACTTAATCAATGCTTAATTTAGTTTACTTACTATAAATAAAGATAACTTCAAAAGACCTTAATGTTTAGCCTTAATGGGATGACTAGTGTGATATCTGGTGATGACAGGTTTAAATATGCATCACATTTTCAAAAAAAAAAAAAAATAGGAGTGAAAGGAGGACTGTGTAAGAGCTTTTATATGGTATGGTATATATATATATATATATATATATATATATATATACTGTATATATATATAATTTTTTCTTTTAGACAAACTGAACAATGCATTTGAATCGGAACAATGATTTGAATTGTCCATGATTTTAGACCAGTATAAAATTGCAGGTTAAATAAATAACATTTTACTTTTTTTTCAGTGTACAATGGCGGCCAACAGTGACCAGGAGCGGTCAAACTTCAAAAAAGAAAAAAAAAATACCAATACAATTTTCATAATAGTATTCTGAGGTCATATGTTGGCTTTGTGTACAGAAATGACTAAACATCTCTCAAATTACATACAGTAGGTTTGGAACGACAGAATTAGAGTTTTTGAGTGACCTGATCCTTAAACAGTATTTGATGATGTGTGAATGCAATCCATTTCTTTGTCCTGGATTTTGTCTTTTTTTTTTCTCAGTATCTTGGAGAGGCTGGAGACTCTCTGTGTGTTTGTGATTGTGTGTGAGTCAGAGGGTCAGAGCTGCTGATCTCATGAGCTCTTCTCCTCCTGGTGTGAGCATGTGCTCCATCATGACCCTAAAGCTGCATCATCCAGCCCTCCCATCATGGGCTTTCATCTGAACACTGCTCATTTCACATCTCTTTTCTCTGTTGCCCTCACGCTTCATCTTTCTTTAGCTGATGCTTGAACCCTCAAGACATACGGATAAACCATCTCCACTCTCATTTAAAGCTGCAGTATGCAATTTCTGTGCCACCTTCATTTTCGGAAGAAAATGTGAGTGAGTTACGTGTGCAAGAACCTGCCGGCTATGCTAGGGTGTTGTGGGTGGTTGCTGAGTGTTTATTATTCCATTGTGTTGAATTTGTAAGTATACACTAGGTCTTTCGTAGGAACTTGGTAGGCGTAATAACTTTCCTTTTATTTTCTTCTATGAGCTCACTTGGCCATGACCACCCTTGGAACTGTCACCTTAGACTTCTGTCCTACCAACTTCTTTGGCTTTTAACTCTGCAAAACACAGAACAAAACACATTGGTATGAGGTTGCTAGGGTTTACTGGGTGGTTTTTAACATGTTACTTTATGTGGTTGCTATGTAATTTAAAAATGCCACTACCAGCTCTATATTTTGGTTTTGAATAGTCATCATCTCATGTGAGTGTACACCATTCAGATGACATTTATTCACATTTTATTTCTTAAACAAATAGTTCACCCACAAAATGAAAATCTGTTGAAAATGTACTCAGGCCGTCCACGATGTAGGTGAATGTGTCTCTTCATCAGAACAGAGATGTTAACTGATGGACTGGAGTGGTGTGGATTACTTGTGAATTATTGTGATGTTTTGATCAGCTGTTTGGACTCTCATTCTGACGGCACCCATTCACTGCAGAGGATCCATCCATCCAAGTGATGTAGTGCTACATTTCGCCAAATCTGTTCAGAAAAAGAAAGAAACTCATCTACATCTTGGATGATCTGAGGGTTCATTTTTGAACTAACTATTCCTTTAATGTGTGTATGTATATATATATATATATATAATTAGCACCAAAGTACTGAACGCACCTGTAATTTTCTGATGGATCGATTTTTCTGTGTTCGGGGACACACTTGACCTTTGAACTATATAGTACTATATCTGTTGTTCGTCTTGCATCCATGTTCACTCTGCAAACATGTTCTTGTGCTAAAAAGAGTGTAAATTTGTTTGGTTTGTTTTCATTTGTGATTTTGTACAGATGCATCTGTCTGAGGTGAACTTCAAACAGATCTACAGCGTTGTGCGTCACGATCAGATCAATGTGTTTCTGCATGTGACGTTCACAGCGTTTCATAGATCATTGATTTTCACATGTGGATTAAATTGAAACAAATGATCTGTCAAGTCCCCAGTGATTCTCAGTGTCTTTCTGTCACCAGAGTCTCTGAACATATTAATACATTCATTACTGGAATCCACTCGGACTGGATGTTGAGCATCTTTCAAGCCATTAGTGAGAACTGTTTATACATGGACACTTTAAACACACACACACACACTCTTGCACTTGGTTACATAGTGTTCTCTTATAGGCTGGTTAAAATAACAAGATGCATGTTATGATAAATGATCATTTTTAACATTATGCCGTTTTTCTCTAAATTCCCCTGCTGCTGCTTATAGTTGTTTTTAAGTCAGTTAATGCAAAAATATAAAGTACTGTAAGTAACATGCTGTGTCTGACCACTTTGATGAGCCAAATGACAGTAATGTAGCCAAACTCATGCCATGCAAGTCAAGTCAAGTCACCTTTATTTGTATAGCGCTTTTAACAATACAGATTGTGTCAAAGCAACTGTACAGCATTAATTAGGAAAATAGTGTGTCATTAATGCAAAATTTTTGGACCAGCTGGAGTTTGTTTATTAAGCGTGCAGAACAACCACCCAATAAAGCATTACAATAATCTAACCTTGAGGTCATGAGCGCATGAATTAACATTTCTGCATTTGACATTGAGAGCGTAGGTCGTAATTTAAATCCGTCATCCAGTTTTTTATATCGACTATGCATTCCGTTAGTTTTCCAAATTGGTATGTTTCGCCGGGCCACAAAGAAATATAGAGCTGAGTATCATCAGCATAACAGTGAAAGCTAACACAGTGTTTCCTGATGATATCTCCCAAGGGTAACATGTAAAGTGTGAAAAGTAACGGCTCTAGTACTGAGCCTTGAGGTACTCCATACTGCACTTGTGATCGATATGATACCTCTTCATTCACTGCTACGAATTGATGGCGGTCAGATAAGTACAATTTGAACCATGCTAATGCTAATGTAAAGTGATTAGGCACCAAAATGTTGATGCTCCAAAATGCACATACAGTACAGCCATGATGATAGTAATCCATATCACACTTATATTTACGTCAAGTATAAACTCAACTCTCTCATAAATGTATGTATGACATTTGGCCAGAGCAGTGGTTTAAGATATAAAGTTTTCTTACACACACCTATTGGTTTGCTTCAAAAGACATAGATTAATCCACTGGTTCAGTCTAATCCAGTATTGCATTTTGACGTTGCAATAGCATTCTGATAATAAATTATTACACCCCTCTTATTTTTCATTTATATTGGCTGGATCAGAGCAGACATATTTTAGTATGGACTTTTTGCCGAATCTTGTCAACAAATATTTTGAAGAAAGTTGGTAAACAAAGAGTTGATGGTAGCCATTGACTTCCGCAGTATTTTTTCCATAAGAAGTCAGACTTCTACCTGACGAAAGTGTGGACTCAGGAAGACCGCGAGTGTTTAGGGTGCGATTAGGGACACGATCGTCTCAGGTTACATATGTAACCATGGTTCCTCGAGGGAACGAGACGCTGCGTCGGAGGATGCTTCGGGAACGCCCTTCAGCGTGACCGGCTCTGAACCTCGTGTGTAATCAGACCAATAGATGGGCGAGACGTCACGGGCGGGTGACGTAATGACCAGGAAGCTATAAAAGTACGTGCGGTGAGACCAGCGTCAGCTTCTAGGAGTGAAGCAAGCGCTGGCAGAGTCGCAAACAGGTCCACCTGGGCCTGGCCAAAAACTCTCCATATCTGCTTCACCACCCTGGGGTGAAGCATCCATTCC